GCGATCGGTTCGGGGAACTTCTGGTCCGGCCGGAGTGTGAATCTTCCTACCAACTATCTGCCAAAGCTCAATTGGACTGCACAAGTCGAGAAAGCCTTCATTGGACCAAAACCACGCACACGACGATACTTCGCCTTCGGTGCCAGGCGTCTGGGTCCTGCTGAAGGTCACCAAAAGAAAGTGGACGGAACCAAGGTGGACCGGGCCATACAGGATCACGGAGAGGACGTCACACGCTGTCCGGCTGGACGGGAGGAGCCTAACCTGGAAGAGAAGCAGCTGACATCTGCCTAACCAGAGAAAGGATCCAAAAAACCAGGAAGAGAAGTAGCTGACTACAGTAGCATGCCAAGCTGCCACCACATCCTGCAGGACGAGAATCATGACATCATCACCCCCTGCAGCTGCCTGGAGCCAGTGAAGGGTCCTCAACAGGGGGAAGAAGTAGCCACCCTATGAACATTCTACAAGGGTTCTATTTAACACCCTCATTTATTTTACAAGGGTTATATTTAACACCCTCCATTTATTTTATCAGGGTTCTATTTCACACCCTCATTTACACCCTCTACTCATTTTATATTATTATTCATTTACCTGTTTAGTATTAGATATATGTTTGTGCTCATTGCATTTCTACAACCTTTATGTACATTCTGATTACTCATTTGTCCTGGCCAGAAGAAGATTCTGAGGGTAACGTAATTCAACAAGAATCCTTTACAATAGTCTGGTATCCAAGTAAGCTGAACCGGTTGGCATACAGGGACAGCAGGTTGGGGTTTAGGAACGACAGATACTTTCGCGATTTCTCTAATTTAGATTTGGTAAATATAAATCGCTCGTTTCCTCCGTCCTGGTGTCCATGTCTGTCTTCGCTGCCATTCTTGTTACTTGCGGTTGTTGCTGTATCCCCTGTCTTAGGCAACTAGTCCAGAGATTGATTACCATTGCCATCTCTCCTCCACCTGCTGACCCAATTATACAGATACCCTTGTTACTAGCCAATCCTAAAATCTATTTGGGAGGGGAACCCTCTGATGAAAGTGATGACTCTCATGATAAAGAAGATGTTGTTAGAGTGTGAGAATATTGAGTGATTTCTGTAACAATCCCTTAAACTGTTTATTTCTATGAGTTTTTTGATTGTGTTGTTTTTATTTCTTTTGATCATTGATGTCCTAGGCATGCACACTCTATGCCAACAGGTGTTCGCCCCAAAATTGAGATATGACAAAAGGGGGGACATGGGGGAATTTTCCCTATAAACATATGATAATTAGGGTTTTTCGCCCTCATATGGAGTTGCATGCGATCCATACATGTTGTAACATGTTCAGTTGAAAGTATGATCATGTTTTTTGTATTAGTTTACTGCTAGAAAGATGAGTAAATGTAATCTGATTGGTTGTTTGTATTGGTATTTTAAAAAAAAACTTTGCTTATTGGATTCTTTTTGATGGAATTTGGTGTTATTGTTTTGATTTCTTATATCTTTATTGAACTCTTAAAAGAGTTCAAAAGGGGGATTGAAAATATATATCTCTCATATAAGCTCTTTCATATATTATTATAAGCTCTTTTATTATTCATTCTTACATGCTACTCTTTTCATTATGGGATCATGTTATAATATAAAGGTCTCTCTGTGTTTCTCTCCTGCACAAGCTCTTAAAACAGCTGCAGGAACTCCAAAAGGGAGTGAGACATTGCAGTCTCTTCTTGTACCAGGTTACCAAGGATATTTCTGCTTATCTTAAGAATTACAAGTTCTTGTGACATGTTAGATCCTGCCTAACAAGGCAATATATATATATATATTTACCTTATAAGCTCATTTTATTATCTATGCTATGGAAACTCGCTCAGATACTCAAGGCCTTCACACAAAGATTAATAGCTGTGTATCTTCTCCTGCACAAGAGAAGGGAGTGTGCACATTCCATCTCCACTCAGTGCCTCTCGGTACCAGTGAATGTATCTTCTCCTGTCATGAATATATCAGGATGTTCCTGGTAATCTCAAGGATGTGTTCTAGTGATGTATTAAACTGTCCGCTAACAAGGCTGTTATTTTCACCTGTCATGATCATTGACGTATGTACATGGCAAACTGCGTATGTTACATTCCTGTACTCTTCAATAAAAATCAGCCGTTTCAGCAGAACGGCGAGAGTCTGTCCGAAGCATCTGGCAAGAGCAGGTCGCGGGACTTGCTGCAGAGACTCTCCCCCTCATGAGCGGCGAAACAGTGAATGGACTTCTGATCATTTGTCTCCTCGTTCTGACAACTTTAAAGGTGTTTAACTCCATCTACTCCGTACCCGTGCTTGGTCTAACGGAAGAGAGACCAACAAGGTCAACCTGACACCATGGTGCCAATATGATGAGATGAACTTGAGCCGATGTTCTTAACACATCCTGCATGCCTCATGAGCCTCAAGACTGCAGATGCAGGACTTCGTATTTTTTACTCTCTGAATAAAGCAGATCTTCCCTGGCATAAATGACTTCAAAACTTCCTATGTTCATATTTTGTTGAATGAACAACATGTTTAAATCCAAAGTTAATGTGTCCTATACTTTACATTGGGAGTTAAAATGAACATTTTTCCTGTAATTATTCATTTCAGATCTTACATTACACCAGATCAGTAATTGTTGATTTAATGTTAATTCAAGTTCAAGTGTATTTATAAAGCGCCAAACCACAATAAGAGTCGTCTCAAGGACCTTCACACAGTAAACCTTCCAATACAGGTCAGGTCATTAAGCCAATCAGGAAAAAGTTTCCTACAGAAGGAATCCAGCAGGTTGCATCGAGTCACTGACTAGTGTCAGAGCCTTTACAGCAGGGGTCTCCAGTCCTGGTCCTGGAGGGCCGGTATCCAGCAGGTTTTGTGGTTTTTCTGCTCCAACAGACTTGATTCAGTGGTTGAAACACCTGTGCAGCAGCTCATCAGGCTCCGCAGAAGCCTGTTAATTAGCTGCTGACTGAATTCAGGTGTGTTGAAACACAGTTCAAACTAAAACATGCAGGACACCGGCCCTCCAGGACCAGGACTGAGGACCCCTGCTTTACAGCAATCCTCACACTAAGCAAGCATGTAGAGACGGTGGAGAGAAAAACTCCCTTCACCCGTCCTCACAAGCATCCTGCCCCTGGATTCGGACACACCCAATGTCTGTGCGTTTCTCTCTTACCGAGTTAACGGAAAAGTATAAATAAGGCTTAAGACAGCAGGTTTGTGTGTGTGCTTGTCTTTTTATGTTCAACTTTGACTTTAACCTTTAACATGTGTACATGTTTGCATTGTGGGGAGTCTAGGGATGGGTACCTTTGACATTTGAATCGATACCGGTACTTAACGGTACCAATTTTAGACACTTTTGAGTGTTTCATATTTTAATTCTCTTTTATAATTAAATATATATTTTTCTCAATATATAACCATATTTGATAAATATCACAATAAATAACATACAACTGTTTGTATTTTAACATCGTCCTTGTAGTTTTATAAGCTGATAATTAAACTGAAGCAAACATCTTTATTGTGAACTAAATTTACTGTGTATCTTCATTCCTTTTGCCGTCCTTTTTCAATTGATTTTTCCTACTGGGAAGTTAGAATTTCCGAGGAGAAAGCGAACGCACCATTAGCTGATAACAATGGTGGCAATGGAAGCTAAGATATCAAGCTAACATTATCTTAAACAGTTTATTTAGCTGCTGGAGCTGATTAAAACGATGATGCCTCACACTTTGATCGTTATTGCTGGTTTCATCTTCACCCAGTCACCTGTCGCATTTAGTAAAGTGAAGCCAAACTTTAGAGCGCGTTCATGTTCTTCTAGTCGGAAATTCGGAGTTCCGAGGAGAAAGCGAACGCACCATTAGCGAAACGGAAGCTAACAAATCAAGCTAACGTTATCTTAAACATTTTATTTACCTACCGGAGCAGATTAAGATGAGGATGTCTCACTTAGATCGTTGTCGCTGGTTTCATCATCACCCAGTTACCCATCACATTTAGTGAAGTGGACCCAAGCTTTAGCGTGCGTTCTTTCTACCATGCTGCTCTGTTTACAACTCGCTCGCAGCGACCGACGACATAACGCTCTTGCGCATGCGCAGCTGTCTAGGCAAGTTCTCGTTATGAAGGACGGGTACCGAAACGAGGCACCGTTTCAAATGACGTGAATCGGTGCTCAGTCGGTACTATGGAATTCGGTCGGTACCTTAAAAAGTACCGAATTCGGTACCCATCCCCAGGGACACACAATGCTAAGCACCCTAAAACTTTGTTTCAGAGGTATGGTGTGAATTAAAACTTACCCCGGGTTTCCACGGGAGCCGTCAGCAGCACGTTACTGCAGCAGCACGTCTTGCTCGCGTAAGCTGCTGCTTGGCCCTTCCCACGACACGCGAAGCAGCAGGGGAGCAGCTGTCACCGACCGAGCACGAAGTCACACGAGTGACTTCGTCAGTAAACACAACAACAAGCAGGAGAAAACTACAACATGGTTTGTGTTTCATGTTCTGTCTTTTTTATAATCGCCAATACGGACCTGAAAAACAAAGGAGACTGCTAGCTAGGTGATAACTTCTCACGGGGACGCACAGTTGGTAACTTTTTTTAAAGTAAAGCAACCGGAAGGCAGTACGTTCTTTATTCTGAAAATCTCAGGTACTTCTCTCCATTTCCGCATCCGATTTCCTGTCTTTCCTTCCCCAAAAATGTCGAACTTGACCCGTTTCAGAGGCGTCGCGTGTAGAAAATAGAACCGGCGCGTAAAGGCCGCGACATGCTGCTCCTGAGACGCGGCCGACTCGCGCTGCTGACGGCTCCTGTGGAAAGCCGGGGTTAGTTTAGGGTAGGAAAATAACCCCACTGGTTAAGTTTTGGGTATGGGTTAGGCATAGTGGAGTCACTAAAATGAATGGAAGTCAATGGAGGTCCACACAAGCATATAAGTACAAGTGTGCGTGTGTGTTACCATGCCATAGAACTGCATTTCTCGTGGACCTCTTGGTGGAGGTTGAATTTGCTTCAGAACGGTACCATCTGGGTGTTGTAAAATTCCTATAACACAAAAACGACAGAAAATTAGAGCAAGGTTCAAGTCCAGTGTTAAAGGCTACAGCTGAGGAAAAGACGCTGGCTGCTTCTTTACCAAATCTCTATGCAGGCTGCTGATTGTCATCTGCCTTGAGACAATGCCTTCTGGAATGGGGCAACAACAACATCAGTCCATATCCACATGTTCCTACTGTCCCATCAATCTAATCACGGGGGGCGTCAATCTGACTGCTTATTACTGGCACCAACTTTGTGACCCCTTGTGATACTGACATTATTGTCGAGGTAAATGTACGATAGTGACCCTTTGCACGTGACAACGCTCATGGGGCCGCCCCCCCCTTTGCCGTGATGGTTGGCAGAAAGACCGTTTACACACGTTGAAACTCCTGTGAAATTAGCCAGTTTGTAGACTTTCATCGCCGTTATTTTGTGGATTTCACAGTAAAATGGTAATGGTTTGCTGCAAGGTTGGCTGCATGAACAGACAAGGACGTAAACTCAACTTATCTTCTTTTTCAAATACGTTTGATAGAGACCGACTACGGAGATGAACTTCAATAAAATGGGCTAGCAGTCAAAGTATTTTCGGATTTGCAGTGAACACGTTTTACTGGGTAAGACTAACGTTCATGTTTGTTATGAGGAAGACGGGGACTGACTGTAATGGACTTGAAATAAAAAATGTGACGTGTTTATAATAATAATAATAATAATAATAATAATAATGGAGAGCATGCAGATGCACAAATTACACGGGGTTCAGCGGTAGGAGGCACACTCCCAGGTTTGGTTCAGGAAGCTGCATGTCTGGAATGCAGCAACTACATGGGCGTCTATCCAGACTGGAGCAAGCCTCTTCCCCGCCCCGACAGGCTTGTCTGGTTCCCCGAGCGTTACGATGGTACCGCAGTGGAATGCCAGCCGTTTCTTGCCTCACGCAGGTCTCACTTTCAGGTTAACCCCGGTGAATTCCTCCAGAGCAAAGTGGCTTTTGCTGGGAGTGTTTTAACGGGACAGGCCAAGAAGTGGGGCCTCGCGGAGTGGGACCAAGGAGCAGACGAGCTCTGCTCCTTACGAGCATTCTCCAACCAGCTCCTCACCGTGTTTGACCCAACGACGCCTCACCGAGCTGAGCTACTGCGGCTCCGACAGGGAGGACACAGCATCTCGTCCTACACAGCGGAAATCCGTATGTTGGCAGCAAACACTCGCTGGCCTGATGACGCGTTGGTCGACATATTTCTTCAGGGACTCTCCAGTGCATTCAAGGACGACATGGCCATGAGGGAGGTGCCGGAGGAGTTGGAGGAACCGAAGAATACGGTGGATATTATTGTCTCACTTGTTCATACAGAGGAATCAAGTGCATACAGATGAAGTCATGAAAAAGTTTTTGCCGACTGTAAACTGGTTTCAGCCGAAGACCAGTCAGTTACCAGCCACTTGTCTGCCAGGCCCATCACACAGGGACACGCCTAGGTCCCAGGGGGTGTGCTTGATATGCATAAATTATGCAATTGCAGAATGTCACCACATGATGTCGCTTTACTACACTGTTTGGTTTTTGACACGGTCACAGAAAGGCTCTCATTCGAGACAGCAGAAGTTACGAGATAAACACAAGGACGATTGAAATAATAGCTAATGTTAATACTTCAATACCATACATGGGTTATACTAGGAAAGAGCCAACAATAGTTACTAGGGCTGTGTTGGTGCTTATTTCATTAGTACACTTAAGATGATGGGAAAACATCCTACAGGTTTGTGTGAGCACTGTCAGGTGGAGGAAAACATTAGGCATGTTAGTTTTATTTGTTCTTTATACACGAGATCGCGGATGCAAGCGGCTAAAATGAGTTTCCTCCGTAGGGTGGCCGGCCTCAGCCTTAGAGATAGGGTGAGGAGCTCGGACATTCGGGAGGGACTCGGAGTAGAACCGCTGCTCCTCCGGATCGAAAGGAGTCAGTTGAGGTGGTTTGGGCATCTGGTCAGGATGCCTCCTGGACGCCTCCCTGGGGAGGTGTTTCGGGCATGTCCTGCTGGCAGGAGGCCCCCGGGTCGACCCAGGACACGTTGGAGAGGTTACATCTCCAATCTGGTCCGGGAACGCCTTGGGGTCCTGCCGGAGGAGCTGGTGGAGGTGGCTGGGGAGAGGACGGTCTGGAGCTCCCTAGTTGGGATGCTGCCCCCGCGACCCGTACCCGGATAAGCGGAGGAAGACGACGACGATGACGCAGTTTAATTGTGTCTTTTCATCTTTAATATTTTAGACTTGAACTAATTAACTCTCCCTTGAGTTTTGTTTTATTTCCCTAAATGTAACAAATAAAAAATCCGTGAGTAACTGTTTTAACTTAAAGATTAAGCCTTCTTTTTATAGAAAGTGTCAGAGATTGATCCTCATGTTGGAGTTTGACCCTCCTGGTGTAAAACATTATGGCCCTATAACAGATGGCGGCTGCGCTATGAGGTAAAAGTATGGTGGGGTTGGGCTAGGGTGAGATAGGAAAGTTGCTCCAACACGGTCATTAACATGATAAAATGTTTCAGAAGATGCTGTAAACCCACATTATTCTCAGGACCAGTGTGGTTAGCAGGCTGAACCCAGGTAACACACAGATAAGGTTTAGGGCTTCCTTCTCAACGAGAACGAGTCAAAAATAAATAACTCAGCTTGCACACTGGTCAATAATTAAACTATCTGTTTCAGACACATTTTTAGATGGCTTAGTTAAAGCCTAACTAAAAACAAAAGGGCCAGCCTGAGCACAGAGCAGCCCTTTGTGTCCTGTGTACACAGGTTTCACGATGACTCAGGATGCCGGAGCAGAACGTGTAGAAGTAGCTGACACGAGTGTTAACACAGGTGTAGCGAGAGCTTCTAAACTAATGTTAGACCTCTGAGGTGATGCGCCATCACCATTACCAGATTTACCTTTTTAAACAGCACCAGAACTCTTTAACTTAAACAAACTGGGTTAAAGTGGCTCCACATCGACCCTAAACGCAGGTGTGCTAGTCACAGAGAAATCTGTCTGATACAGACAAAAACAGAACATGATGACAAGACAAAGAAGAGTTTTACAAGAATGCTTGATGTCCAACCCTAAAAGTCCAAAAATAAGAATTTGCTGCAACAAACGACCGATGAATCGGACGGGGTCTTGACTCTAGGGCTGGGTGATTTGTATGGTTGTTCCCACAGCCAATCATCAGTCCAAAAACAGACAACGGGCGTTTAAGTCGTGCATGTGACATCATGACGCACGGACTGATTTGTGAACACAGAAGAAGCCCAACACAGATTTGTTTTAATGGAAGCACAGTGCTGCATATGTTCGCTGGAATAGAAATGAAGGGTTTTCTTTTTATTTATTTTGTATTTGTAGTTTGGTAGGGTGACGTATAAACGGCTCGTATCAAACACGGTGCCCACCATTCGGGTCATTTATTTAAGCTACATGATTTTCTTCTGAACACAGGCTTCTGGGTCTTTTATGACTATCAGTAGGAAATGCAACGAATCGCCACTCCGTGGAGGCAGCGTTTGCTTGCAGCCAAAAGTCACATGATCCATTTGTCCCCTTCACTTATTTTTAAAATAATAATCATACAAAACCGCTAAATTTCCATTCATTTTAATATTTTGTCCAAAAAAGCTAAACGGAGTGCCCCTATTGCATAAACAACGCAGGTAAAAAAATTTCACTTAAATTAGGAACATTTCACCTGCTGCAGCCCGAACGCACATTCTGTCTGCTCCGTGTACACCATATGTGTGTGTGTGTGTGTGTGTGTGTGTTAGGGCTGGGCGATATCGATATTTTTAAAATATCGATATGATTTTTAAACAAGATACAAGATGACTTTATATCTTAATATCGATATAACTGGTCAAACTGCTATGATAGCGATTAGCCACTATGCTAGCAGCATGTTGCTCCGTCTCTAAGCGGTTAACGTGAATTCTCACAAGTTTGCTCAATTTCAGGCCTCTGCTCTAAACTTTGCATTTGGCGTCCTGGTTTTTAATTCTTTGGGGACGTTCAACGCCAACAGAGTTTATCCATCCCGCTTGTGCGGAAAGACGAGCCAAACTCCTCCCTCCCCTGTGTAATGAGGAAACCTCTACGGATAGCCAGAGTGGCCAAATTACCTCAAACATATTGTATGGGATTGAATAGTAAACTATAGGGCAGGGGTGCCCAATCCTGGTCCTGGAGGGCCGGTATCCAGCAGGTTTTAGTGGTTTCTCTGCTCCAACACACTTGATTCAGTGGTTGAATCACCTGTGCAGCAGCTCATCAGGCTCTACAGAAGCCTGTTAATCACCTGCTGATTGAAGTCAGGTGTGTTAAAGAAGGGTTAAAACTAAAACCTGCTGGATACCGGCCCTCCAGGACCAGGACTGGGCACCCCTGCTATAGGGTGAATGTTTTATTTTAAAGGCGAGCTCAACTGGTGAGACATGTTGTTCCGGTTTTTTCCGCTCTGGTCTGCTATGCTAGTAACCAGGGCCGTGCAGAGACCTTTGACGGGGCGGGTGCTCAAAGTAAAAAAGGGCACTTATAGAGCAAAACTTTTAAACAGATTCGTGGTCCAACAAGTTTGAAAATTCAGATAACGAGACCCTTGGGTTCACACAGCATAATAAAGATAATAAAATATATCAGTTAATTAATTGAAGTTAATGATAGTTAAATAAATAACTGTTTGTTTTTAAAGCTGACATACCTATAGAGATGTTACAACCACATTTTTGCCCCTGATCCGAGTCCAAGTTGTTTGATTATTGATTATCTTCCAATACTGAGTCCTGTTCTGATACCAGGTGGTGATGCAACGCGTTATAAAAGAAGAAATAAGTCGTCCTTCTGTCTGTATTTGTCATTTTGTAGTTTTAGCCTGAAAAGGTCACTCATTCAGGAAGTACATTTAACAGGAATCAAGATACTTTATTGCTATTGCACAGGTGTACAACCAAAGATATGTTGTGCCTACTAAAGACAGCTCTAGTAAGAGGTAGTAAAATAAATGCACCACAGAGACTTAGCCAGTGTGATCTACGGCTATGTTAGCTGAGATCTTTTTCCTGTCAGTAGAAAATTCTTGATCCCATTCCATGATCTCACTGAACTTACCACTAAACATGAGAGCTCTGCTACCAACCCAACAACAACACCCTTTACACAAAGGCACCATCATCACATACGTGGCAGGAGTCTCAGAGAAACTTAGAAGAATCTTCTCCAAACACAACATCCCGGTAAACTTTAACCCAACAGCACCCTCAGACAGAACCTGGTCCATCCAGAAGACAAAACACCCACATTTCCATGTAATACCTCATTGGAAAGCTTGTTTTATGTACTTTTAGAAACAGTTGTAATTATTTTAATTCAATGAGCAATTCAGGCCTTATGACGCGGAGACTCTAGAGTGAAAAATATCAACATTTATGATTCTTTGTTGTGCAAGTTTCAACACCCCAGGAGAAGTCTCTCATGTCCCATTTTCTGTCTCAGACATGCAGCTACCTGACTGGGCTTCACACACACACACACACACACACACACACACAGACACACACACACACACACAGACACACACACACACACACACACACACACACACACACACACACACACACACACACGTAAACAAAAGCTCTGATATTAAAATCTATCCAGCTGATGTCAAGCAGGCAGAATAAAAACTTACAGGTAGATGAACGCAGACTCCGGCCAACAGGCAAAACACCGGTCTGTCGTCTCCATGGCTGCGAGTTAGAGCGACAGGAGGAACAACCAATCACGGTGGCAAAGCCAATCAGTGAGCTTGTGGGCGGGTCTAAGGGAAAATAGCCTTCAGCTGGAGGCGGCTGCCTCCGCATGGTCCTAGTGCCTGATATGTACCACAGTATAACAGTTTTGGACGGTAAAATCTGACGAAAGACCAAAAAAAGGCACTTTGGGCACTTCAAACAAAAAGGGCAGGTGCTTAAGCACCCAAACCACCCACCCCTCCGCACGTGCCTGCTAGTAAATACTACATTACGAGTGATTCTGTAGAAAGAGTTCAGAGTTATAAGGCGTGGGTTACGGCGATAGCAGCATTACAGTAGAATCGCTGATATGAGCCAATACTGTTAGACTCCAGCCATGTTTGCCCTGATAACTAATAACTCCATGGTGCAGGACCCATGTGATCTTCAGTAGATGCAATTACATCATCATAAATTTAGCTCTACATGATAAAAATAATTTTACATTAATTATAAATATATAATTAAAACATGCCTGTGGGACATTTGACACACCTTTAGCTCTCAACTGTGTGTGTGTGTGTGTGTGTGTGTGTGTGTGTGTGTGTGTGTTAACAGACAGCTGTACCAGTGTTTCTAAAGCTCAGACTGGTAGAGAATGAGCACAAAGGTTAAAGTTTGACAAGAATCAATACATTTTTATGCATTTAATCTACTAATAAATGTATTTAGTTTCTCGAGACAGCTTGAAGTGAGTTAACGTGTAAATATTTTACAGCAGGAAAAAGATCGAGAAATATATCATATATCAGAATTCAGCTACAGGATATCGAGATAAATGATAAATGAGCCGCACTTGTGTAGCACCTCTCAGAGTAAGGACTCCAAAGCGCTTTACACTACAGTGTGATGATGATGAGCTACGATGTAGCCACAGCTGCCCTGGGGCACACTGACAGAGGCGAGGCTGCCGAGCACAGGCGCCACCGGTCCCTCCGACCACCACCAGCAGGCAGCAAGTGGGTTAAGCAGAAGTCTCTGTCCAGAGCCGGGATCGAACCTGCAACCTTCCGATTACTGAACAACCTGCTTAACCTGTTGAGCTACTGCTGCCCCTGAGATATAAGTTTTGGTCCATATCGCCCAGCCCTATAGGGGTTGCAACTCTGAGATTTCAGGAGCTCTTCTTCCCGGTGACATTCCTGGGGTCTCGTTTATAAAACGTTGCGTAGAATCCTTACTAAAACCGTACTTAAGCTCAGTAAAAGGAAAAAAGTGCACATTTTTCCGCTACGTTTTCTTTCATAAATCCCAAAGTTTGCGTGGAAAGTTGCGTGCGCAGTTTTCCCGACACCGTTTTGTGCGTAAGCAAGCTTTATAAATGAGACCCCTGGGCTGTGGGATGCCAGGACAGAGACCTGCCTAAGTACTTGTGTTTCACCTGGTGTCCTCTCCCTGCTCAGGCTTTAGATAAAACACTCATATAACTCCGACTGGCTGAGCGTGGTCTGCTTGTGGTTCCTCTAACCAAAGGCAGACACAGAGGAGGCTTCGCCTTTTCCGTCCCAGGTGAGCTGCCTCTGAATTTAAAACGTGCTCATGCTTTAGAACTCACCTGACGACTACCCATTGTCTCTTGCTTTTGGCTAAATGAGTTTATTTTATTCTAACTGTGTCTTTGAGCCACTGTAGTGCTTCCAACCCTTCTTCTATAAGTGGAGACGGACCCACCCTCCAGGTAACTCACCTACTTTATCCACGCCATGCTTGTGACCTGCCACCTGGTGTGAAAGTGGAACGCAGCCGTTCAGGTGAGGAAGGCCCTTGGAGCCCAGGAGCCGCTGACAGGTGTTATCCTCTCGGAGGTTACTACCGGGGAGCCGAGGGACAGAGGCACCGCTGTCCGAACCGGGGACCAACTCCGACGGCACAGAGGTGTCCATGATCTGAGAAACAGGTCAGCAAGCGTTCAAAGTTAGGAAACAGCCTGGTCGTGTCACACGGTCAGTCAGAAGCAGGTGTGTGGAAACAGTACATTGTTATTCCATGAGCAGAGAATTCCAGAGACGTTCAGGAAGATGTTCTGAGAGACCGGGAGTCCTTCCTGGGCATGATGGTGGTCCAGATGCGCCGTGAACGCAGCAGCTCCCCCGGTGTTTGAAGCCCTGACAGCCGCCGCTAGCCCGCGGATTCCGGTTAGCTCCTGGCTCAGCGGTCTGCGGTGATCTCTACTTTATAAACACACAAGCATTAAGCCTGAACACATCACACTTCCGGACAGCTATCAGACAGGAAACCACGTTCGACTTCCGTTTCGCACTTTCAAAATAAAACACGATGTGTCTGTGAACAGTGTGGCTGTACCATCGGTGTGTACACGGGGACAATTCCAACAGTTTCATGCAAATAAAATGACAGTTATTAGTTCCGTCGTTGCATTGCTGCTCAATCCTAAATGAAAGATGTACGTTTGGAAAACTATTACGTGCATCTAGTAACAGGTAGATGAGGCGTGTTGGTCTACTGACACCTGCTGGAGATTCAGGTGTCAAACATCTTTGCAGGCAACAGCCTGACGTCATGACGTAATGCGTTATGGGATTGTTTATATATATATATATATATATATATATATATATATATATATATATATATATATATATATATATATATATATATATATATATATATATATATATATAAAATTAATTTTATTGAAAATGATCAATCTTCCATTACAACTGACTTTAAGAAACAAGCCAGGGGGAATTCTCATTAAGGAACAATAAGAAAAATAAATAAATAAATTGTTTGACTTCAATTATCAGAAGTCTGAATAAGGTTTTTAGCAGAGCTTCTATATTTGTGGATATCAGGGTCGTGCAGAGACCTTTGACGGGGCGGGGGCTCAAAGTAAAAACAAGGGGCACTTATAGAGCAATCCAAGAAGTTAGAAAATTCAGATTATGGGAAACTTGGGTTCAAACAACATAATAAAAATATATCTATTAGTGTCATTAATTGAAGTTAATGTTAGTTAAATAAATAACTGTTTGTTTTTAAAGCTGACTTATATCTAGAGATGTTACAACCACATTTTTGCCCCTGATCCAAGTCCAAGTTGTTTGATTATTGATTATCTTCCAATACTGAGTCCTGTTCTGATACCAGGTGGTGATGCAACGCGTTATAAAAGAAGAAATAAGTCGTCCTTCTGTCTGTATTTGTCATTTAGTAGTTTTAGCCTGAAAAGGTCACTCATTCAGGAAGTACATTTAACAGGAATCAAGATACTTTATTGCTATTGCACAGGTGTACAACCAAAGATATGTTGTGCCTACTAAAGACAGCTCTAGTAAGAGGTAGTAAAATAAATGCACCACAGAGACTTAGCCAGTGTGATCTACGGCTATGTTAGCTGAGATCTTTTTCCTGTCAGTAGAAAATTCTTGATCCCATTCCATGATCTCACTGAACTTACCACTAAACATGAGAGCTCTGCTACCAACCTAACAACACCACCCTTTCCACAAAGGCACCATCATCACATACGTGGCAGGAGTCTCAGAGAAACTTAGAAGAATCTTCTCCAAACACAACATCCCAGTAAACTTTAACCCAACAACACCCTCAGACAGAACCTGGTCCATCCAGAAGACAAAACACCCAAACAGAAGCTCAGTGGGGTCGTTTATGCAGTCCAGTGTAGTGAGGACTGTCCAGATGTTTACATTAGAGAAACTAAACAACAAGTACACAAGAACATAACACAACACAGGAGAGCCACCTCTTCAGGTCAAAACTCTGCAGTCCACCTCCACCTGAAGGACAAGGGACACACCTCTGAAGATGACAAAGTCCACATTCTGGACGGATGGGGAGAGGAGTAAAAGCTATCTATGTCAAACGTGAAAACCCCACTTTAAATAGGGGCGGGGCTTAGATTTCACCTTTCCAGAACCAATAATGCAGCTTTAATCTCATTCAGTTTCAGTCTAGGTCACACCTTCCTGCATCTAATCAACACGATGACTCACCATCAGTAGAGGCTAACCACTCATCAGGAGATGGAGAGGTGGGGTACTCAGAGTAGTTTCTGCTCTTTAAACAACAACAGACAGCTACAGCTTATGAGCTTGACTCTCCCATATTTCAGTTAGAACTGACAAAGCTCCTCAGAGGAGAAGTGAAATGTTTTAAAGAAACCAAAGAAGTCCAGTTGCCTTCATCCGAACCCTTTGGAGTAACAGTCAATAATAAAAAATACAAAATAAAGTAATAAAACGTATATATTTATGCTCACATTCACTTTTACCATCTCTTTGTGGGAGGCGGAACATTCATCACGTTTAACCCTCTTATGACCATAAATATGACTGGTATTTTTTTTTATGGCTTTAAAATTGTAATAAAAGTGTAAAATGTTTGTAACTCTGCTCCTTTTTCCAGAACAACCTCAGCTTTCAGTGTGGTTTGTATTTGTGTTTATGTTTATTAAAGTCTGTAAAACTGCAGCTTAAATGAAAAAAAAACAGATTTGAATTTTCTTTACATTTATTACTAAACAGGAACTTCAAAATGACTCGAGCAAACTACGTCAAACGAACTACCGGTATTTAAACTCCGAACTGTGTTGCAAACACTCAGAAAACAGTGTGACCCCTGACCTCATGTTAACCAGTTTAATGACTGCAGCCTGTCTGTGACCACAGGTCTACGCTCTGGTCCAGAGAACGGGATACAGTAAAATAAATACTAGGTATCATAAAATAACACTCATGGGCTACTTCACAGCTGTAGCTGCATTTCTACCAGCATTATGAAGATCAATAAGCAGATAAAAGGTTAAATGTAAACATTTCATTACAAAAAGTCAACTAATAAAATTCTGCACTGATAACATTATATTTTCAGCTAAATAAATATTTATTGTACGTATAAATAACGCTGGAATGAAGCTGAATCATTAGTAAACAGTTGAGTGTTCAAATAAAAACCAGTGTGACTTTAATCTGTCCCTCAATGTTTGCCTCCATTTTTAAAAATTGGTTTTATTTTAGCTATTTTCACGCTGTTTGGAAAAACGCCTTTTTGAAAGGATGGATTACAAATAAAAGTCAAGAGGTTTTACAGTAAAATCAGTGACCTCTTTAATTATGAATGTATCAGTAAAATTAATATCAATGGATTTCTTATAAGTTTTCTAACAGTTTCTATTATATCACCGTCGCTGATCCGTCCCAAAAATCAAACATATTTAATTTTTTATCACAATTTGGAATTTGTTTGGCCGGACTTGTACCGACATCAGCCAAATATTTGTTAAATTCTTCAGCAACATCTTGTTTATTGTCCACTATATCACCACATTTAATAAAAAAAATGTCTAGGAAATTACTTTTTTATTCATTTTTTTATTGATAAGATCATTTATAATATTCCACGTCGCTTGAATATTATTTTTACTTCTAATAATGTATTATAGTGCTCCTTTTACTGTCTTCTTATGATAGAAGTCAACATATTATTGTACTGTTTATATGTTTTTTCACTTTCACTAGTTTGTAATAGTAAATATTTCTTATATAATACATTTTCTTTCTGCTGTAAACTCCTAGTCATCCATGGTTTTCTGTTACCATTTTTCTTCACCTGACATTTTCTAACAGGACAATGTTTGAGGACTAAACTACCTCAAATAAAAGATGTTAAACTGAGTGAGATTACATCCTTTTACATAACTTTCAAAAATGATAAATAAGCTTGCTGCAAAAGAGTGACCAAGAATGTTTTTACGGGATCTTTTTTCTTGGTTTTAGGAGGAAATGCAGAAAAAAAATCACAAGCAGAACATTATTACATTACATTATTTTCCCGTAAAAGTTTATCACAAATGTTATGAAAATAGCCAGAAATGTGATCTCCCGACACGGAACAGAATATTTCTGGGGAACACAATTTCTCACAACACCTGACCTCCCGGCTGACCTCACCCCTCCTCTGTGTGTGAATCGTGACCGCTTCGAGAGCAGAACTAGCTGCTTCCTTCAGAACTGGTAGGTTGATAAAACAGTCATAATCATGAATGCTTGTTTTAAGCTTTGGGCTACACAGGTTGGAAATTGATTATATGATCAAACTCATGAGTGAGCCACCGCAGCTGCAATACTTTCTCTGAACTGCATGATTCTAAAGAGTCGCATGTTTTCATCCTGATTTCAACGGATTTCACACATAGGGCCTTTAAATCTGGAGAAGGAGCTGCAAGCTCCGTGCCCCTGCTCTAGGGTGACCAGATCCCAACTTACCAAATGTGGGACAGAGATACTCAATGTGGGACAACGTGAAGTTCTAATGAGAAAAAACAAACAAACAAAAGGTAAATTCTGCCTTTTAGCCCTAACAACACTCTTACATATACATAAAATTATTATTCTCATTATCATCATATATTTCTTGTATTTATTTTATTTGAATTCAACATGAAGAAGCATGCAGCAAAAGCTTTACTATGTCACAGTTCCTCTCACGTTCCCACAACAAGACTCTGTAGTGGCTCTGATCATTTTAATAATACAGATAGGCCCACAAGAATGAAAACATGCAGGTTTAAGCAGCTTCCTGCTCATCATCAACCTCTGAACTCACGCTGTGCGAAAAGGAAGGGCTATCTTCCCTTGGACGCTGTTAACCAGAATCAGGAGGCCGTTTCTTCTGGAGATCATGGAGGGCAGCACCCTTAAAACAGAGAAACCACAACGCTGTCACTGTTCTATCCATCCCTCCCTCCCTCCCTCCCTCCCTCCCTCCCTCCCTCCATCCATCCATCCATCCGCTTATCCAGAGTCGGGTTACGGGGGCAGCAGCCTAAGGCGAGAGGCCCAGACTTCCCTCTCCCCAGCCACTTGGGCCAGCTCCTCCGGGGGAATCCTGAGGCGTTCCCTGGCCAGGTGAGAGACATAGTCTAGGTCTCCTCCCGGTTGGACGTGCCCGTAAAACCTCACCAGGGAGGCATCCAGGAGGCATCCTGACCAGATGCCCGAGCTACCTCAACTGACTCCTCTCGATGTGGAGGAGCAGCGGGTCTACTCCGAGCCCCTCATGGATGACCGAGCTTCTCACCCTGTCTCTAATGGAGAGCCCAGCCACTCTTCGGAGAAAACTCATTTTGGCCACTTTTATCTGCAATCTCGTTCTTTCAGTCACTACCCAAAGCTCATGACCATAGGTGAGGGTAGGAACGTAGATCAAACGGTAAATCGAGAGCTTCACCTTCTGGCTCAGCTCTCTCT